TGAATGATATAGCAGTTAATATAAATATATTAAAGGAAGAGTCCGCTCATTTTATAAAATCAAACTTCTGAAAGTTCTTTAAATATGAAATTATTCCATCCTGTTCAATAAATGATGAGTGTTTTTCATTCCGAGTAATTTTCATGTGAATGTGCTTCACTGGAGGTATCCATGTTTGTCAAAGAACACTACTGCCACCTACCGGTCGGCTGTCCGCATGACATAGATTTGGAGTCAGTAGGTCACATGACCTGGAAGCTATTAAAGAAAAGTCCCAACATTTGTCTTGAAATATCTTGAAAATAGCTTAAAATTGCATAAAAGCAAGTGTGCCTTACATATGTTATCTATTGGCATGATTTTATATTAGTTCCGTCTTAGCTGGTCATAAAATAAGGAATTTATTGATTTTTGTGCTCGGTTTGTTGACGGTGTAGGTACCAGATTGACTCGGGCTGCCAGATTGACTCGGGGGCCTGCGCCTTTTGATGACGTCATGAGCGTCCGCCATCTTAAATGTGGCAAATCTGCAGTTTCTCAGTCACTTAAACAGTATCAGAGGGACTTTAATCTCTGAATATACTTTGAATTCGTAGTATTTTTGTTTTTGTAATATTACAAGTTTATTTTTTGTATCCCTTTAGCTTCATTCTCCTGAATTTATTGTCGTTACAAATGCAGACCGCGGGCTCAATGTAGTTTGTTTGAGTGGCGTTGCTATAATGTGATGTCATCGGGAGGCGCAAGGCCCATGGCGAATTCGGTGACGTCATCGGAAGGCGCAGGGACCATGGAGAATTTCTTCCTAAAATTGTCCGTTTCCAAACCGCAATCCCGCTTTCGAATAAAACCTACACCCCGCTATAATTACTTTAGTAAGCTGTCCAGACCAATCAAAATGTTTTGCGCAATTGTGCAAACGTTAAAACAATTATGTAATGTGACGTCATCAAAAGGCGCAGGCCCCCGAGTCAATCTGGCAGCCCGAGTCAATCTGGTACCTACAACGGTCCCTAAATGCACCACGGCGTGTGGGAGGAGGGAGCAGCTGCCGACATCGGAGTTCCTCAGTCGGATCAACTGTTTGCTGGATCCCGCTGAAAAACTACATTGTCGACAAATGAAAAATAATAGAGTTAATAATTATAATGTTGGCATTGTTTTCAAAACCAGTTGCCAAATGTCTCAGCTCACTGACAGCTTCATAGGTAGCCATGTTTGTTGTGCCTGTGGCCGGCTGCTGCTAACCAGCCAATGGGAAGAAGGTGAGCCTCTAAGCCACGCCCCAAATGTGCATAATGAGGCAGAAATGGAAAAACGATAGGCAGAAGAAAATAGAGTAAAACAAATACAAAGGAAGAATAAACCAGACAAAAAATATTATAACATGCACATAAATTAATACTTAAAGAAATAAGTAATAAATAAATAAAGTTGAAGAATTTAATGGACAATAAATAAATAAGGAAATTATTACAAAGGCAAAAACCAAAGAAGCTAATAAAAAGAGATACATTTATGTCTCACTGTATAATTTGATTTCTATATACATTTATTTGTTTATTGTATTTTTAGGGGGGAATTAAGGGAATTCTTATTTATTTTTTTAGCATTTATTTATTTCTGTATTTATTTTTAATTATGGCAGGATTCAATTCAATTCAGTTGATTTATATAGCGCCACAACACATGTCATTACTGTATTGGTCTTCCATATATAGAGAATACACGCGGCATGACAAAGCACTGAACAACAATTCAGTCTCATCAGCAGTTTGGTTAAAAGTTTTCAATCCCCAATAAATCCAGTCGATTGCATCCAATTGTTGACTCGACAGGATTTGATCCTCCTGGATGAGCATGTCAAGACAGAGGATGCTAATTATTCCGGAACAGCGAAGCGCTGCGAAAGTCTATTGTAATTCGAATCTTTATTATTATTATTCTCAGCCTTAGAATGCATTTTTGGGCCCCTAAACATATTCAAGAGCTCACAAAATTTGCCAATGATTCCCCCCCACGAAAAATTCTGTGTTGTTAATGGATTCAAAAATGGCCGTCCACAGCGCCCCCTACAGCTAAAGTGAGTTGGGGAAAACCGTAAGTCACAGAGATTTGAAATATGGCTCACCAGTAGATCTCCTTAATTCATTTTTTAAAAAGTCTCTACGAGGTATGCGCTAAAAACTTACAGTAAGTCAGACATTTTGGCTCAGAGTGGGATTTTTGGCAAGTTTTCATAATTTTATAATTTCATCTTTATACAGGTTGTATCATTGAGATCCAAGATCCATCTTATTTACAAGAGATATTTGCTTGCATTGCATCAATGACTACAGTAAAAGGGGTCCCTATGTCCTCCAGCAGTCTAAGCCTATAGCAGCATAACTATAGAGATAGCTCAGGATAACCTGAGCCACTCTAACTATAAGCTTTATCAGAAAGGAAAGTTTTAATCATAACTACAAATCAAACCATTCAGATATGTTTAAGATTAAAAGGGAACTTCCAAAAAAAGAAGAAAAAAAATTTTGAAAAAGGATCTATTTGCTTTTGGTGACAGTGATTTGACCAATTTAAATCTAAATAAGGTTTTTTGTTACCCCTCTGGTTTACCTGGTATAACTATCACCTGTGTTTGTCTTCATGTGCAGCCTTTTCTTAAGGGCACTATTTTTTTTATTATCTATAAAATGGTATTCTGTGTAAAATCAAAAATGGATTTATGGGTTTTGAGACTTGCTGAATGTTTTTGGAAAATTAGTTGCAATGTCATGAAATTAATAACAATTTAATAATACAAAAAAAATCCGATCCATTTTCTGCTGCTCAGTCCTTGTCAGGGTCACAGTGATTCGGCAGTCTTGTGGTGAGAGGCGGGTCACCCTGGACAGGTCACCAGTCTGTGGGAGGGCAACACAGAGACACACAACCATGCACACACACACTCACACCTAAGAACAATTTAGGGAAGCCAGTTAACCTAACAGTCATGTTTTTGGACTGTGGGAGGAAGCTGGAGTACCCGGAGAGAACCCACGAATGCTCAGGGAGAACAAGGAAACTCCATGCAGTAAGACCCCGGGCTGGGAATCAAACCCAGAACCTTCTTGCTGCAAGGCAACAGTGCTACAAACTGCCTCAGTGTGCATCAAGCACAAATCTAATGCGTTTTATTTTCTAAGAAAAAAATAATAAAAATCAGGAAAAGGATAAAACAAACATGTAAAATCTGGACAAAAAAGCAAAGGCCGTTGCAAATACAAATGCTATTAATAAATAAATAAAAGCCAAAACTTGGCACTGAATAGAGTCTCCATGACCGTTACCATAGCAACACATATCTAGTTCAACCATGAGCAGTATCTGAATAAAGCAGTGGTTCTGATGGTGTTGATTCTGTCCTCTCTGCTGCTCTTATCTCCTTAGAACACGTCTGCAGAAAACATGAAGCACATTCTCAGTTTCCAGCTTGAGACGCATTATTCAGATTGATTATAACAAGAAACTTTTGTTTAAAGCCTAAACGCAGAATGCATGGCAAAAAAAAAAGATATCAGAAGAAAAACAAAGCAAAGTGCTTCCTTCTGCTGGTGTTTTATTCCTCCAAATGGTGCCTATATGTTTGAACCTGGAACAGCTGATTTATCCATTAGTCACAGCTGCCTTCATTACCATGAACTCTCACCCTGAAGCTAACTTAGCATTAGCCTGACAGCCTGCAGTGCAGGCGATGATTAATCCTCCAGAAATAGCTCCAACTAACGCATGAATTCTCTCTGTTTGAGCAACAGCAATTACAAACTGATGCAGGTGTTAGTTTTCTCATTAGGGGTGCTATGTGAATAATTAACAAGGTGACTTTATATTCTTTAATATTTAATCCAATTACTCTCCGGCTGTCATGTGTTATTCTGTGAACAAACATCCAATGGCTGTTAGAACAGAGACAATGGTGATTCTGGCTCTAATCATGGAAAATAATTTCCTTCTTTCATCTGAGGAATATTGCAAAAATTAGAAATCTCCTGTCCAGGGGTGATGCTGAGAAACTAGTCCATGCATTTGTTACTTCAAGGCTGGACTATTGTAATTCTTTACTATCAAGAAGTCCACAAACTGTAGTTAAAAGCCTTCAGCTGATCCAAAATGCTGCAGCCAGAGTTCTGATGAAAATGAAAAAGAGAGATCACATCCCTCCTGCATGACAAAGGTCCATGTTTGTCAAAGAACACTACTGCCACCTACTGGTTAGTGACGTCACGGTGCGGTATCGGCTGTTGATCAAGTCCCAGTGCTGTATCTGGTGTTTGTCACAACGCGCTATTATCCAAGTCATCTTGAAAACATTCTTCTTCCAGATGTTGGCTACATATTACGGGTTTTTTCTCTGGCCAGAAGTTCGATGGCAAATCCTCCCTCTTCAAGTTGGCGATCCAACGACCAACCCGTCCGTGGAGGATCAGGAATCAGAAAGGTGGAATAACTCTTTTTTTTCACTTTTACCCGATGTATTCCAGCATCCAGCTGCCATGCACGTGGGCATTGTCAGTTTCACTATAGCTCTGGTGAATTTCAATGGTGAAGTCCTCTGGAAATCTTCAATAATTGTTGTTGATTGCAGATGCGTCTAGTAGTTCCCATTGATTTAGCTTGGAAAGCGGAGAGAATGGCGCTAGGATTACCGCACCGTGACGTCACTGCTGGAAGATGGCAGGAGGGAGGGGTTACTATATTTGGGCAGAAATGGCCGCTCCCAGTCTCAGTGATCATGATAAAAATTTTTTTATTTTTTTACTGATTAACGCCAAATTCATTAAATCTCCTCAAACGAATTAGGTTTCCTTGCTGACCGGACTCTGCCCTACATTTTTATTTCTAATTGGCAGGAATATTTGTTATCTGTGTATTTTATCCTGAGGCTGATGGGATCAATTCTTCTTTGGTTGAGTTTTTTTTTTTCCACTGGTTGCATAAAAAACAGAAAAACAAAACAAACGTAAAGGGAAGATGTTTTTTATTTTACAAAACTAAATGTTTGCAGGAAACAACAGTCACAAACAATACTGCATCTTGTTACAATTTACAAAACTATTTCTTTTTTAACATAAAGTGGGGTAAAACTATAAAGTTTTCTCTGACAGCAGTGCTGATAGAGGAGGAAGTCGATGTGTAGATGCTACACACCCACAATGACCAGCTAGCCATTAGCAAAGCGCTCAAAACCTCATTAAAAACAAGTAAAACACAATATTCTAAAACTTGATTTTATGTTGGGTTTTTTAAATAGTGGAAAGATCAGATCAGAATCTATAAACAATTTGGGTTTTAATAAACTTTCCCAAAAATAAAACCCTAACTTTATCATCTGATATAAAGTTATTTAGATGTTTTTAAGTAGAACAGATTTAAAGAAGAGATGTGCTCTGCATGATCTCTTCAAAAACGAAAAATGAAGGTCTGGTACTTCCACGAATCAACCAGGAGCCTCTTTAATGCCTAAGAAATCACATTTCTAAAAGAACTATTTGTATTTTTACTCTACTGCTTCAAAAGAAGCGTCAGAGTAACAGAGGAAATAATCAGCAAATAAAAACACCTCACTGCTGCAGAGACGCGTCCCCCAAACATGGCATCCGAACAGATGCGCGTCCAAGCAGAGCAGAGAGCTGCACCTTTATTTTTCTCTTATTGGCAGCAAAACTCTAAATGAAAATTAAGAGCTTCGTTCTGGAAGGAAACAAACAGAAAGATCCAGCAGAGAGAAGAGACTTAAAACCCTGACCTGGAGGGGAGGTCAACAGCTGGAGGCTCCCTGAAACCAAAGTTTTCCAGTTAGATAACGATTGGGAGCTGACCTCGTTTTCTAATATATACAAACTCTAAAGCGGAATAAACAAAAACTAACGATTAAAACAAAATCAAATCAGTTTTTTTTGTTTTTTGTAATTGCAGAAGCCGTTCTGGCGTATTTAGCCATTGATAGACATGAATCTAAAACAGACATCGGTGGATCCGTCTCTCCGTCAGGTTTAAAAAGAGTAGAAATAACCCTAAAGAGGAGCGTCTGAGGAGCAGAACGGTTGATGTTCCTTCAGTCGCCCAAACCTCTCATCTTTTGATGTCGGTAACGATCAGAACTTGTTTGGTAACAGAAAAGGTCTAAATGCTAAAGGAAACCATGGGAAGACGCCTCTGTGCGTAACTGCTGCTTTGAGTCTTTTATTTGGAGGCTGGTCAGCGACTCTGCCGCTCAGACACCACGTCCTGAAGACGCTTCAGCAGCACGTCCGGACTGCTGCCGTTCTCCGGACACGACCTCTTACTGGGGGAGTCGCACGCTAGTGACATCATCACGTCTCCCTCTATGTTGAAGGCCCTCTTCCTGCTGACCAAACCCTGGCGGATCATCCGGTTTATGTCTGACAGCTCCTACAAAGACAGGGAGGGGAGAGGCCTTCGTTACACAAACAGAAGCTGCATCAGGTTAAAGGAGTTTTACGTTAAAATAATCTGGGATTATTTATAATCCAAAGTCATATTTTCATACTAATCTTCAGCTGACTAATGTGTGGGTGATATTAAATCAGTTTATAAAAAATATATAAAATTTTCTTCATGTATCTGATCCTCAACTGATGAAGTTGTAGCTCATTGGTGTAAAACTATGGCGTTAAAATTGGGCCATAAAACTGTAATAAAGCCACTAATATATATGTAATCTATATCCTAACTTTCCTGTATAATCTGTATATAGTTTCCATATTTATGTATTTTATAGCTTCTTAAAATGACTCTCTGTTTATATATACTATTTATAGTCGATACATACATAGTTTCTGTACATATGCAAATAAATATTCATATCCTTTATACCACTTCTGGAAACTACATTTGGTTGCTTTGTAATTGTGACAACATAACAACAATAAAGTTTAAATCTTTTTTTTTTTTGCAGATCTCTGGTGTTGCTTCTATTTTTCACGTATCAGTTACTGTAAAAATGTCCACAGATTATATATATATATTTTTTTTATTGTCCAGATACAGAGTATTTATATTGTAAATCACTGCACAGTACAATACTCTGTTTTATTTTGCTGTCTGGTAATTGACACTTTTCTAATGTTCACACTGTGCGGCCACTTCTACTTAAAGGTGGGGTATGTGATGTTTTCTGGAGCATGTTTTTACCATATTGATTGAAAACCTCCTCACGAGCCCATTGCGCCAACTGAGATAGAATGTTTGGAAAAAAAACGAAATCTTTTAGTCCAGTGTAGAGGGCGTAGTCAGAGGAAAACGCAAACCAATAGAAGTAACTATCATCCCTACTTCTACTGGTTTCTGGCACGCCCATCAACCGTCAGCTCTGAGCTCTCCCCACCCCTCCCCCCTGCGCGTTCACAGACTCGTGACACCCCCCCCCCCCCCCAAGTGCCGCTGAAGGGAGGACCTGTTCGAATTTACAGACAGAACTCTTGTGGTCTCCTTATTTTCAAGGACTTCGAAGGATCCAGTCTAGGTAGACCGCGTCCTTGGAGGATGCAGCCCAGGTTTTTGAACAGAGCCTCTGATTAAGAACAGGGCTGCCCGCACTGACGCGGCTCAGGGATTACGTCACACGGAGCGTCGTGCGCAGTGAAATCAGGACATTTCCTCACTTTCTAAAAAAAACCCGGGACGCCCGGGACAGGACGTGAAATACGGATATGTCCCGGGAAATACGGACGTTTGGTCACCCTAATCAATACTTCTTGAAATGACAACCGTGACAACTTGTTTACGACCATATTGAATTGTTCAACACTCTTACCGTACTAGGAGAAGACGACGCCATCATGGAAGTTAGCCTGTTATGTTGTGGTTAGCTAGTAATAGACATGAGCTTCTCGCCTCATCCCGAGTCACGTGCACTCGCGAGGTCTCGGCCTGTTTCTTTCTCGTTCTCGGGAACATCCGAACATTCTCGACTGACAGCAGGCGCGTTCATGTAATTTGGAGGCGTGGTTTCGTGGGGTGGGCTGAAGGTGTGTATTTTCAAAAATGTAGCTGGCAGGAACCGTTTATCCAGGATCATATACCCCACCTTTAACCTTTTGCTGCTCTAACGCCACAATTTCCTACGGAAGAGGATTGGGGCCACTGGGAAAAAAAAAAGTTAAGTGATTTTTAAATTTTATTTCAGTTTAACATGGGGAAAAAAGTCAGAATTCTGACTTTTTTCTCAGAATTAAACTGAAATCTTTTCCCCATATTAAACTGAAATAAAATTTTAAAATCAGGTAACTTTTTTTTTTTCCCAGTGGCCCTAATCCTCTTCCGTAATTTCCCAATAAAAGGGATTTTCTAAAAAAATTTCATGTAAAATATGAAAATTATCTTTTAAACTGGAAGGGTTTGAAAAAGGAAAGAGAAAATTGAAAAACAAGATAACTAAAAAAATGAAAACAGAACATTTGGCATTTGAATTGAGAAAGCTTCCTGGAGAGGTGGCAAAACGTCTTCAAATCTTGGAAACCAAGTCAAGTGGACATTTTTGAACATTTACGGAATGACTATGACCTGGATGACTGTGAACCTTGATCAGCAATGTGAAATTGAAAAATATTTTTCAAAATGAAAAAGATTAAAAATAAAAGAAGAAAAAAATTTAAACCTGAAAATAATTCTTGAAAGTTAGTTTTTACGGCGCTAGTGGCTCGTTTTTTTTTTTGGACAGTAGGCTGACAGGAAAGGTGGTATGATAGAGGGGAAAGATATGCAGGAAAGGACCACAGGCCGGATTTGAACCTGGTTTGGCCGCGTCAAGGACTAAGGCCTCCAAACAAGGTCATGTGCGCTAACCACTGCGCTACAATATGTGCTTCTTCTAGAGGTGATGTCACCACCCGATCCGTCACGGAAGCACGCTCCGTGCTGCGCATACCTGAACAGATACACACCCGGGTAACCTTAAATAATGTAATTATGGTTTTAAAGGTACTTATTTCTATCCTTAACTCGCTAAAGAATGCTAATATACATCTTTAAAAATGTTTTATGACTTTCCTAAGACAATTCTGACGCTTTTTCCATTTTCTCCGGTAAACTGCTTCTCTGACGTGATCATGGGACACACTCAGAGCAGTCCGGCAAAATATGATTAAATCCTGTTAATCTGCATTTTAGTTGGTTCTTTCTTTAGATCACGCATTATATACAATAAGGTTAACACAAAAGGATAACATAAAACTCAAAAAGATTTTCACTTTAATATGGGAGGAAAAGTCAGAATTCTGACTTTAATCTCAGAATTCTGACTTTTTTCTCAGAATTCTGACTTTTATCTCAGAATTCTGACTTTAATCTCAGAATTCTGACTTTTTTTCTCAGAATTGTGGCACCATGAAGGCAGAGATGTGGAGCACTCAGCTTCACTGACAAAGATGTGAGCTGTTTGGGAGGGCCAGTGACACATGAGTGGAAAATGCTGGAATAGCTGTCAGAATTCATTCAAAATTCGGAGATTAAAGTCAGAATTCTGAGATTTTTCTCATAATATACTGAAAAAAAAAGAAATCAGTTAACTTTTGTTTTATTTTTTCAGTGGCCCTAATCCTCTTATGAATTTAACACATTATATTTTAGTACGTTTACTATTTTTTTGGAAGGGAAAAACGTCATCTAGGTCTTTTTGACAAAACAAAATTGAGAGCGACCCGGATGTATGTCTGGATCGTGCTTCCAGGACGGATCAGGTAGTGACAGGTGACTCTGGTACTGGAGCCGTTCAAACCCGCAGCCGCCCCCTCTGATGAGAACTAGTGTGTGGGTGTTTGTGTTCTTGCCTTTGACGGACTGTTGTTGATCCTGTACGTGTACGAATTCGGCGTGAGAGAGCCCACAGAGTTCTTGTGAGGCGAAACGTACAGCGAGTGCCTCTGGCTGACCCGGCGGGGCGACAGAGGCTGAGCCCGGACCGAAGGGAACGGAGAAAGCGGGGGAGCATCCGCCTGGGGGGGAAGCGACACAGAGGCGTCATGTTTTCAGTGGATCAGAGCCTGACCTGGCAGGCTACATGGAGCGCGCCGTACCCGGTTATCGTTGGTGACGTATCGCAGAGCGAAGCTCTTCATCTTCAGCACGAACACGGTGTTATAAAACTGGATGAGGTCACCACGCTCCTCCTCCTCTGATTGGTCCGACTTTCTTTCGGCTGGACGCTGACTGGCTTTCTCTGCAGCTGAAAACAAACACAGCTGGTGTTAATAATCACAAACAGATATTAACAGTTTATTATTGCAATTTAAACCTGCAATGACAGCACTGATCAGATTGATGCCTGTTTTTATCATCACAGATGTTCCTACATCACCCTGATGCTCTGATCTCGGTCACTCGGCTCCATCTGAGCATAAAATATAAGATCAGTCCATCCTAGGAACCCACTGATGTTCTGAAAGCAGCATTTTAACGCAACTGAAAAGTAAGAGGCTAAAAAAGAAAAACTGTATGGAGCTAAACTGGGGCTTTTTAACAGAAAAGAAAAACATTTAAAAAGATTATGAGATAGTATCTCATTATAATGAGATAATTTTTTTTCTTTTTTTACAGAGTGGCGGAAACGGGCTTCCATACAAATGTTTATAAAATGTTAAGAAAATATAATAAATTGGGTGAATATTTCAGTTCCATGTGCTTCATTTTAACATTTCCAAATGAAACGAAGGGTGAAAGCTAATAAATGTTTAGATAACTAATAATAATACCAGCAGCTGATTTTATTTCAGCGTTTAGTGGTTAAAAAATTATTATAACCACTTTTATTATGGTGGCAGATAACATAAGATTTTCTGCATTCTGCTCCTTTTCCAGCTGTATTGAGTTTCTCCTGTTTGGTGAAAAAATAAATAAATGAATAATAATTTTGTTTTGGATCAAGTATAATATCATTAAGGGTTCATCTTTAGTTTTAAACATATTTAAAGGGGTGTTTTTTTTCTCCTGGATCAAAGCTTTTAGGACGGCCAATAGCAGCTTTCCTTGCTTCCATCTGGTTTTCTGCTTTAGCTTCATTAAAGCGGCGAGTTTCTTTTCTTACATTCTCCACCAGACGCAGAGTCCACCTCCATGTTTTCATCAGCTGGCTGCTCTCTGGGAGTCCGACGCAGTAAGACGCTGCGGTACACCTGAACACACACACACGGTCAGCCGGTGGGTTTTACTCTGTAGATGTTCAGTATGGAGTGTTTCTCACGTGGCTGCTGGCTTGTGGTTGGCTGCGGTAACACTTCATGATGTCCTGGAAGGTGTGAGTCTCTTTGGTGATCTGGAAAAAACAGAGAAACTCGTTCAACAGGAGGCTCCGCCCTTCCAGCCCACATTAACAGTTCCCTCAGCTCAGAAGCTCTTAATGTTTATTTTACCTTTTCACCTCAAGATTAGTTTTTATTTTCTAAATAATATCAAGTGACAGGAAAAAGGGTTTTTATTTAACGCTGACAGTAAATATGACAGACAAGGGAAAAGTCCAGTTTGGTATGGAGTGAATTTTGTTCCACTATTGTTGCAATGAAAATGTTTCGGTAAATTGAAATCTGAATAACAGCAATTAAACTTTAAAACACGATTTTAAGAGTCATTTGCATGTTTTGACATTTTTTGTAATATATTTTAGACTTTTAGTCTATATTTTAGACTTTTTTAAACAAATTTGTCTAATTTTAAAAAGGTTTATAATTATTTTGTCTTTTCAAAGATTACTTCTTTCGATTTAATTGTTTTATTTTGCATTTTTACACATTGTATATATATTTATTATAGATTTTATTTTCCAGATTTATTCTCAAGATTGGGTTTGTCAAATTACCTGCTTCTTAAAATTTTTTTTTAAGATCAAATTATCTGCACTTTAAGTCCAATACAAACCCAATCCCACTGATCAATTAAAATGTCTTCAAGTTACCTTTTTTTTTCTCATTAAGCAAAATGATGCGAAGAGAATTTTATCTGGAAAAAAGAATATTTTTCTAGAAAATTAAATAAAAAACAGGACATTAGAACATAGAAAATATTTTGCGAGATCTCGCAAAAGTATTGCAGGATCTTGTAAAACTTTATTTTTTCCCTCCATGTCCCTTTAGGGGCTCCGTAAATTCCTCTTTATCAGGACTCCCATAAAGTGCGGATGACTTCCTGCTGATGAGCAGATATGATTTTCAAAGAGCTAAAAAAGATTTCAAATCTTAATTGAGACAGAAGAAGCTGTTAGAAAGCAGACTAGATGTTTTCCCTCTGGTCACACAGCAGCATCAGTTTCTTCCTGGAAGCAGCTGTCAGCAGCTTTATGCTCTCCTATTGAACAGCCCCGTGTCTCCGTGTCCTTACCTTGGATATTATGTAGATACAGCAGAGCAGCAGCTGGTCCAGATGGCGGTCCTTCATCAGGTCAGTGCAGTGGACCAACGCGTGCTCGAAACACGTCCAGATTTTCCCTCTCAGCTCAGGCGAGATGTCCAGCTTCAGACACAGATCCCTCAGACGAACGCTGGCCAGGTGATACACCTGCGTGGGCAGACAGAGCGTGAGCAGCTGAGCAGGCTGTCAGAACGTATCTCTGGAGGACTGCCCCCTCCCACTCCTACCTTCCTGAAGAACAGAGCGAGGGACCCAGTGCGCCGCGGCCGCCCGTTTCCTGACTGGGCTTCGGCGCCGGAGGCGGCCCCGGCTCCTCGACTCGGGGAGGAGGTGAGAAGGAACTGAGCTGTGACCACGCCGGAGGGGTCACACTGCTGGACTGGGATCAGCGTAAAGGTGCGCTCACCTGGAGAGGTTCCAAAGAAAACCAAATTCACATCAGACAGGAGTTAACCCTTTGAAATACTTTCAAAATCAACATTTCAAGCCAATAGTGTCATTGGAATCCAGGACAAGACCTTATTACTTTTGTAAAATTCAAAAAATATACGGTGTGTACTACTCCCTTCAGAGGACAGCTTAAACGGGCTACTGTGGGTACTATTTAATGAAGATGCCAGTTGGGGACCTGTGAGGCGTCTGTTTCTCAAACTAGAGACTCTAATGCACTTATCTTCTTGCTCAGTTGTGCAACGCGGCCTCCCACTTCTTTTCTACTCTGGTTAGAGCCTGTTTGTGCTGTCCTCTGAAGGGAGTAGTACACACCGTTGTAGGAAATCTTCAATTTCTTAGCAATTTCTCTCATGGAATAGCCTTCATTTCTAAGAACAAGAATAGACTGTCGAGTTTCAGATGAAAGTTCTCTTTTTCTGGCCATTTTGAGCGTTTAATTGACCCCAATAATGTGATGCTCCAGAAACTCAATCTGCTCAAAGGAAGGTCAGTTTTGTAGCTTCTGTAACGAGCTAAACTGTTTTCAGATGTGTGAACATGATTGTACAAGGGTTTTCTAATCATCAATTAGCCTTCTGAGCCAATGAGCTAACACATTGTACCATTAGAACACTGGAGTGATAGTTGCTGGAAATGGGCCTCTATACACCTATGGAGATATTGCACCAAAAACCAGACATTTGCAGCTAGAATAGTCATTTACCACATTAGCAATGTATAGAGTGAATTTCTTTAAAGTTAAGATTAGTTTAAAGTTATCTTCATTGAAAAGTACAGAGCTTTTCCTTCAAAAATAAGGACATTTCAATGTGAGCCCAAACTTTTGAACAGTAGTGTATATATTTCGATGGCAAAAATGTAATAACAAGAAACGCCAACTTGACCGAATATATTAAGTATAATATCAAAATTTCTTCATGAAAAACACTGAAAGAGAGTGAAAGAAACTGTCCAACATAACCTTAGAGGCATTAATAGTGGACCTAAATATAATAGTTAACTAGGCTTATTAATTTTTTTTTACTTTACTTTTAACTTTTCAATTAGCTTTTTGCCTTTTTTTTCCCCTCAACTTAATTTCCAGTAGGTAATATATCATTCGAGGGCTCATCTAATTGGTCAAATGCCAAAATAAGATGTACGGCCATGATTGCCTTCGAGTCGATGCAATCAGCTGGTTTTCCTTAGATAGAAAACTTTGAATCAATCTGACTGGATGATCTGGTGAACTGTGACCTGAGATGACATGATGTGAATTGGAGCTATAGAAATAAACTGAATAGAATTGAATAAAAAAAAGACACTTAGGGGAAAACAGACCACAGATATGCTTAAGAGCAAATGCTGATTAATGTTTCTGCTGACCCCCCCATCCCAGCAGAGCAGAGGAGAGAAAAGAGGCAGACGTGCACCAACCTTGCAGCGGGATACTGAGCACCGTGGTTTGGTTTCCCGGGGCTCCGGTCTTCTGGACGCTGCTGCTTGTCCCAAACGTCAGCCTCTTGACAGGAGATGGCAGCGGGCTCCCGCTGATGCTCAGGCCTGTGGAGGTCGCTGGCGGGTCGTCGCCGAATAGCCTCCGTTTGGCGCTCCCGGCTGCAGGAGAGCTGTATCTGTCGTGGACCGAGAGCGGAGAGGGAGGCACTTCTGAAAGCAGGAGAACATGGGAGAAAAATTAACCAAAAGAAGATGTGTCAGGTCTAAGCACCTAAAACATCATACATACATACAGGGAAGGAAAGAAGGCACAGAGACAATTAATTCAGTTACTCGCGAGGAGAGTAGGAAGAGACTGCGGAGTTTACAATCTCCCCCCCACTCTGCTGTCTTCAGCTTTCTCCTTGCTATTTATTGAAGAAAAGGGGATGTCCCTAATTACACCAGCTGAGGTTTAACTAAGGGGAAGGGAAACAAAAGGATCTTACTTTAAACCTCAGCACATATGTTAAAACAAAGCATGTGGTTGTTTAATAATTGAATTGTTCCAAGAAAACGTTTAGAAGAAACATGTGATAGAGGCTGTTCAGGCCTCTTTCGCAACCCGTCCGTTGCATGACCTTTATCTGGAGCGATCTTAAGCAAGAGTTAATAAAAGATGAATCACACATTATACATCATAATAGTTCATTAGAACACAACCCATCAAACACAAACAAAGTAAGAGTATAAATAAAATATTTCTAACAAGATGAGAAATCCCAGTAAACAGAGGAATTCACCAAAACCCACCTTTACGTGTGCTCCCCAGACCCGACCTGAACTCCCTGATCCGAGGGTGGATGATGGGAGAGTGGGCCACCAGCGGCAGGTGAGACTGAGCATTATTGGAGCCGGAACCGGAACCAGAACCCGTATCCAGACAAGAGGAGAAGTTCACCTGCAGAGACACTAAAAGGATCAGCAGGTGGATCCAGAGGTTTGCCTCACGTTGGAAATCTGTCACTAAACTGCAATCCAATAACTTACACTCACTGGTACTATTTCATTTTCTTTATTTTCTTTAACAAAATGGGAACAGCTGCTTTTTTGATTGAACTGAACCACAAGAATCAGCTCATTTAAATAATTGTTAATTTATTCAGTTATTATTTGTTCGCTTCAGTCACACAGGGCCACGGTTTCACAAGGTTTGCACGTGTTAAAAAGGTGAAAATGTTTTTACGTAGAGTAACTCTTTAAAGTCGTAGGAAAGCGGCTGTTCCAACCGTTGCATTTCTGAATTCTCCCGAGTGGTGGACGACTTTACACGAATGAATAAAGTGAATGTGATTGGTCGATTATCAAAGGGGGCGGGATTGTAGTGGCGGAAGGTTCGCAATCATTTTGGTTGTGGCCGGTGTCTCAGTTATTCAGTTTGTTCACAATGTTTAGTTGGAACATTAGAAAAGCTCGTTCCAGGCCGACCCAACACGAGCGCCTAGAACACTTTAGCCGTCATCATTCCTGCAGATCAGAAGCTTTTTCGTGTCGCTGCTTCTGCTCACCTCCTCCACTGTGGGGACCTTATTCCCAGCCGCCTCCAAGGCGCTCCACAGAGCAGAATCGGAGGTCCAGGCTCGGCTCTCCAGAACCTGCTCCTCTATGGAGTTCAGATGCTTCACCATGTCACGGGAAAGGCCTTCCTCAGAGCGGATAAACACCTCGATCACCTGCATAAAAACACCAAAAACATCTTGTTCAGTTCAGGGAAAGAGGAACATTTAGCAGACAAAGATTTTAGCAAGTGATAAACATCCTACTCTTTCTGAGCAGGATGTTTATCGCGCTAGCTGCCGTGTAATATTATTGCTGTTGTTCTGTCAGATGAGCATACCTCCTCAGGCCAGCATACTGTTAGTCAATACCTGTTTATCCCTTTAGTTTTGTATGAAAAATAGACTTTAAACTACCTCGACGGGCGTGTTTTCTTTTAGTCATGTACAAAAAAACAATTTAAGGTCAGATCCCCATACTCCCCGAAAAAGAAACACCAAAAAGTAAGAAATTAAACAGTTTTTTGTACAGGAGTAAAGGGATAAACGCCCGTTGAGGTAGTTTAATGGGTTCTGAAGTCTTGGGCATGAGGAATGCTCATCTGACAGAACACCGTTCTGCTGGGATTTTCTCACCTTAAAGAAGTAAAATGGGGCCAATTTGAAGATCCTGATGATCCAAGGGAAGGTCCTCTGGGAGCTGTAGGAGAACAACACCACCTCCAAACAGCACGCCATCAGAGAGCAGTGGAAGATGTCCTGTTCGAGCAAAACCTAACCGCAGAAACACAGATCTCCATTCAAGGCCAATAAATCCCATTAAATATTCATTCAGGTTTGGTCCATAAGAACAAGCTGCTTACGCTCATGTCTCTGCCCTGCAGCCGCTTGGTCTCCTGAACCAGGACGTTCTCCAGGATTTTGTAGTAGAGGATTTCTGCCAGCTTCCAACGATTCTCAGCAAAGTCTGGATCAAAAAGGTAATCTGGTGAACTCCATGCTGTGTTCAATCAGTTTAAAATCTGTAACATCAGCTCTATGACCAGATACAGCCTCACTGAAGTCACACGGTTTACTGCAGGGGGCCCAATGCGCGGGTCAGGGGCCGTTTATGGCCCTGTGAAGAATTTAAAAAGGACTTGGCGATAAATTGAATTCATATTGTACTGATAAAAAAAATCAGTACAATTATTGTTGGATGAACATTTGTGTTACTTGCACAAGATTTATGTTATGATTTTTTAAGTTTACATATTCTATTGTTGGCTAAATATTTGCTAATTTGCACAATATATTTTTGAATAAACTAAACCTATTTTAAAATACATGCATGTAGTAAATACTTCATTAATACTTCAATTAAAATCGAATAAAATCTGAATTGTGATTTTATCTTTTTAACAATAACAATATAAGTTTATTCCATATTAATTCTGCCTGCTTGTTTTTAATTGGAGGAAGGAAAATCTGTAGATGTCAGCGTATAAAGCCTATAAAAGTGGTGTGATACACTGACATCATAAAATGGGAGGGGCTGAGACGGGTGGTTGTCTGGGCAACATTTCATATGATGAAATGTTGCCTATAGGCAACATTTAAACCGTAAAATAGAAGAATATAAGACATTTAGGCCCCGTCCACACGAAGTCAAAACGAACACGAAACGCTGATATTTTCCAGAACGTTTGCCGTAAAGACGGAGACGTAAAATAAATGTGATCGTCCACACGAATGCATGAAAACGCTGCAAAATGTATGCAAGGCCTGTAAGTGGCGCTGTGGTGCCAAAGCAAAAATAGGCGACGAAATGTTGGGCATGCACACTAATATTTATACATGGTTGCCCTGCGGGTCCATTTTCGTGGTTCAGTCAAATTCAGGTGCTGAACTATGTGGTCGATATTGCTCTGTTCTTCCTGGAGATATTCCAGAAGAAGAAGATTCTGTTGTAAGCCCGACAGCAGGGTGAGTAGCATTAGCAGCAACCATTCAACACAGTACGGCGCCATTGTTGTTGTGATACTTTGTCGCGCATGCGTGTTTAGAGGCGACGCTATGACGCATGCATGTAAAAAAAAAATGCGGTTAGAGCTTAAAGATGGAAACGCGAAAACAGCGTTTCAGAATCTTCCCACTCTGAAGGCTGAATAAAAAAAAGATCGTTTACAGACCCCCGAAACGCCGGCTTCGTATGGATGAGAGGCTGGTTTGGTGAAAAATTTGTACGTTTAGTCCAGGGTTTGACTTGGTGTGGACGGGGCCTAAGCAGGACAGTGAATGGATGAAATTTACTCGTTTTTCCCTCCACAGCGATTGCTCGTTTGTTTGTTACCAATATGGGATCCCGGCGTGTCGTCAGAGTCGTTGGTGTAATGTTCTTTGAAGGTTTGTCCCAGAGTTTTCACTCGAGTCAGAATGGACTCTGTGGGACTTCTGGAACAAGACCTGCAGGAAATAAACAGGATAAATTTACATTCTACCCCAAAAAGCAACATTATTAAGCTTCATACTGTTTTCTTACTGAGGGTAACATCAGAAGGCATGCCGCCATATTTTATGTTTATTCGGCAAAAACACATTTTTGACTGAAAAGATAAATATTAAGACTGAATGGAGATAAACAGCAAACATGGTTTAACAGAGATTCTGCTGCCATTTACAGGTTAAACTGGGAATGGCGGCCTGGTGGTTAGGGCATAGAATTCCCAAGGACTGCCAGTCTGGGTCCCTGAGCAAGACCCTTAACCCCACACTGCTCCAGCCCACTGCTCCACAAAGGAATGGGTTAAAATGCAGATGCACATTTCTCCAATGTGAGATCAATAAAGTTCAATTATTATGATCATTATTATTAAATCTTAAATGTTTTCTTTTTATATGTGTAGCACTTTTATTACAGTTAGGAAGGGACAAAGTGCTTCACCACAGAATGAAGAGTTATAAACACAGAATAAAAACACAATAACTGAAAACTTCTTGGAATAAAAATGTTTTTAGATGTTTTTTAAGACTCATCCAGACTGCAGAGCTGAAGGGAATGTGATTGGTCGATTATCAAGGGGGCGGGATCGTTGTGGTGGAAGGTTCTCAAGCAAGTTTGGTTGTAGCCGGTTTGTGGGAAGCATCTTGCTAACCAGTTAGCAACTTAGAGCTAGCAGTTCCCCAATGGGAAATTCCATTGCTGAAGACACAGACGTCCATCCCCGTGAACACTAGGACGCAACTCAATGGGAAAGGAAAGGATTCTGATTTCAACTGTTGCGTATATTAGCTGCGACATATGTATCAAGATGCTATGAAAGAAAACATTTGATTGACAGATGACTGTTGATATATGATTGGCTGAATTTAGGGGTTCAGGCTGAAGTAGAACTAACTGGCCTGCAGAAGATAACGGAAAAAAACAGATTATAAGACAGGATTTTTTTTTTTAAATCGAAATTTTCTTAATTTTAGGACAATATAGTCTGATAAAGAGAACATTTATATATATGTTTAAGCCAGAATGATTTGACATTTAAATATGATTTTGCTAAGACTTTAAAGACAATGCTAACATCACTAAGTCTCTCCCAGTTCTAATTGTTAGATCTCACTCAGGACAGAGAGCGACAAACACATTCTTTAAATCATAGTTCTACATCTTTATTGATTGGAAATCATATTATTTAGTAACCTAAAGGTTCCTGTTCTGTTATATCTTACACGATGTAAGTTTAATAAGTTTAATAGTGAATTAGAAAATATGTTTTTTAATTTTTTTATTTAGTGTGTAATATAGTTTTTTGTTTTTTATTCAGCATTTTGTAAAAGAAAAAAAAGTATTTAGCCCATCATGTTATTGAAAGTGGGTCTCAAGACAAGAAAAAAAACTCAGGCTTTTAATAAAATGTCCACTTATCAATTAATCGTTAGACGACTGATAAGATCAATTGACTTTAACTCATTAATCAATAAGTTGCTTCCCTAACTGAGACAAAAGGGAAAAAAATAAAAGGAACTCACTTAAAGATTTGCATCAGATTTTCGCTGGGAGCCGTCCGCAGTCCGGCCACCATGCTCTGCAGCCGGCTGACGCTCTGCGTTGCTGAAGAGACGGGCGTGAAAAGCAGGTCCTTCTCCTTCAGGTAGACTCGCCCGGTAAGAGGAGTGGACGGGGCGAGAGAGCCGGACTGAGACAGTCGGAGAGAATCAGAGTTTTTACCATTTTCTGTACCACTGATCAGCTTCTCCCTGCAGCCTTTCTTTATAAGAAGGGTTTTATCTCCTTTAAACATATATATAGAAAATATAAAAACAAACACAATACAGTGACTTATGACCGGGCTAGACTATTAAAAAAAACCTGCTGCGTTGGTCAGCAAAATCAGTCAAATTTAGCCTCAAATAAATCTCTTTAAATGTCTTCACGACATTTTTTAAATCCTGATGAAATCTTTAACTTGGAGTCGCACATCGTGTGTATAGTAAGCATAACAGACTGGTGCAAAAATAATGAAGGAAATTAGTCCGTGAGGCAGACACCCTGTCTACTTTTAAGGCTAGGCTTAAAACTTTCCTCTTTGATAAAGCTTCTAGTTAGAGTGGCTCAGGTTATCCTGAGCTATCTCTATAGTTATGCTGCTATAGGCTTAGACTGCTGGAGGACATAGGGACCCCTTTTTCATCATTCTGCTTCATTCTATCTCTATTCTCCCACTCTGCAGAATCTGTTAGTTCAATCTCTAACCTTCTGCTCTCTCTGCTTTTTCTCATAGTAGCTTCATCTGGTCTGTTCCTGTTTGGCTGTGACTCCATCCTGGAGAGAAATATCAGCTGTGCTGCTGCCATCAACACCTTTGTTTCTAGATGTTGGAGCTTGGCCTGTTTTCCAGTGTAGTCCTGTTTCTCTGACTGTGACTAACTGGATGTGCTCTCTTCATCCTCTGACATGGGAGCTGGCTCGGAGCTCGTCTGCCTGGCTGTGTGTTTCCTGGACGGGGCCGCCTTTTGTATCTATGCTTCTTTTTCTATGTCTGCTTCTGTCTCCTTGAACCCCAGTGGGCCTCAGCAAATGGCCGCTCACACTGAGCCTGGTTCTGCTGGAGGTTTCTTCCTGTTCAAAGGGAGTTTTTCCTCTCCACTGTCGCTACAAGCATTCTTAGTGTGAGGGATTGCTGAAGAGTCAATGAGTCGATGCAATCAGCTGGTTTCCCTTAGATAGAAAACTTTGAATCAATCTGACTGGATGATCTGTAAAGTGCCTTGAGATGACATGATGTGAATTGGAGCTATAGAAATAAACTGAACTGAATTTAAACATTAAAATAGAAAACTTTCCGCATCAGGAGGACAGAAAATAGATAAAGTCTCTCTTTAAGCCTCACAAAAACCACACTAAGGAGGGTCAGACAGAGCAGGTAAGCTCTCTCACCTCTTTATGAAAAAAGAAAAACTTGGATAAACTACGCAGATCTTTCTGAGAATCACCTCTCTGCCTCAGTCACCATAGAAACCGTCCCACGCCATTTATAGCTGCTTTTTCTTTACTTTAGGCGTAGATCTCATTGTGTTTTTAATATATGAACACTGTCTATTTGTTCTGGTTTCAGATGCTGCACAGACTCGATAAGTGGAGCTTTGCATTATAGAATACACTGCTTGTTTTTTACATTTTCTATAACTTTTCATAATCTATCCAAGTCAAAGTGGGAATATTTTTTCATGTATGTATAGCACAGAGACAGGAGTGAAAATAATCTGCTCACCCTGCCTAGTCGGAGCCTCTTTATAAGCAGGAGAAAAAATCGGATAGGGGATTAAAAAGTTGTACGCAACCACTGTGTTCAGGCCTTCATTCAGGTGGGGCTCCCCCTACTGGACCTTCTGACAATAGCATGGTCGCAACCACTGCCTGTCCTGCATTCCACATGCAACAACTGTCCAAAAAGTGACTGGATTTGCTCAGTTTACTGGAGTGCTAAATATGCACCCTTCTCTGACTGAGGTTAAAGAAAATTGACCCCAAAGGCCACAAATGGGACCCTGGGCGACATTTTGGACACCTCTCTAACCTGAGATGAATATAAAACTACAAAGAAAAGTGGCATCATATAACTAGAACCCTCTCTTCCTGTGCTGATGAAATCTAGCCAATAATGATCAAACGTTTCTGAGGAAGCGGCCTCAGACGGTCTGTGTGGGTCGGTACCTTCTCCACCTGCTGTTGGAGCTGGCTCTGAGCTGCTGCTGCTGCTGCTGCTTGGCTGGCAGCCCGTTCCTCAACAAACTTCCTCGGGGTTCCGATTTCCTCATCAGCATCGGCCCCCAGAAACACTCGTTCGTCGAAGTCCCCCACCGTCAACACGTACTCCTCATACTCCCTGTTTATGGCTTTACTGTGGTCAGAAAAGCACACATCACATGACGAAGGAGCGGCACAAAATTCACAAAAAAGTTAAACAAAAACAAAGTTTTAATAAACGTTGGAAACCAAACTCGCGTTTCTTACTTGTTATCGATAAAATTGTGAGGATCCAGCATTTCGGTCAAAAGCGTCTCGTTTCCTTTCAGGATCTGAGTGTCACACAGAGGAGGACCAACATGGAGGTCAAACTGAACTGAGAACCGATGCATTTACCCGTCGGCTGCCGGGGGGCGGGGCTCACCTGTTTCTCAAACAGCTTCTGGATGTACGGCTTGAAGTAGTGCTGTTTGATGCCTTTGGCCTCCACCACCAGCCCGTCATGAAGCTCACACAGCTTCTCCAGCACGCAGGGAGGCGGCTCGCTCTGGGGGGCGGAGCCTTCCACACGGAACGCAGGCGGCAGACCTGCAGAGGAGAAGGATGTAGTCGTCATAGTGACTCATGGGATGCTGGAAACCAAACCAACTGGTAAATCTGAGGAATCTTATTCGCTTTAAAACTCTGATTAATTATAAATTTAACTGCAGCTGGTTTATAATCAGCCTTGGAAAACAAATATTTATGCTGTTTATCTTAAAGAATTTGTTTTTTTTAATGAATTTACAACTTTATGACATCAGAGAATATAAACTTGATTTTGTGGCTATACAAATTATATTTTGAAGCATTATCAGGGGTTGACGTTAAGGATTGCCCTTCGGGCAAGTGACCTTCACATTTCAGTTGCCCAGAAACAATTTTTACTTGCCCAGTATAATGTTTGATAAATATAGTTCCTAATATTCATTTTTGTATATATATCAATGAAACATGTTTGTTTTTTAAATGTTTTTTGTAATTCAGTATCTTTTAAGTTTCCAGGTTCCTGGTGTGTATCTGCATGCGTCAGATAATGAACTCAAGCCTGCATTACCGTGTTAACATGCTTTTCAATCCTTCCTCACATTCTTTTCAAACTAAACTTTGCTTTAAACTCTTGTGTGCTTGGAAAAATATAAATTGTAATGTTAAAAATCTAAAAAAAACTTGACAGATTAAATTCATCATCCAGCTGCTGCTCTGCAGAATTCTCTCCCCAAGGAGAGAAAAATCACGCCATCTGGCGGAAAATCACGTGAGAATATGTACAAAACAACAAAAATGGCACCGGCAACGCTTGTGGGTCGTTTTCAGCGAATGTCGGTGATTTTAAAGTAATTTTGAGTGCGAATTTGCGAATTTGTACTCTCCCGACAATAAAAACTACTTGCCCCGGGCGATCGGGTGATGGTTAACATCAAGCCCTGATTATTAGGGTCATATTAAAAGAAATATATATATTTTTTTGTAATAAAAAATTCTTTAGATTATGAGAACAAGGTCATATTACAAAAATGAAGCCATAATATTAAGATTACAAGAGTAAAATCTTAATATCATGAGACTAAAGTCGGAACATTATCAGGATAAAAAATATAACTCGAGGTTATGTTCATAAGATTAAGAGTTTTAAGTTGCAACTTTATGAGACTGAATTTATGAGATTAAAGATGTAACATTTGGAGATGAAAGTTATAACATTATTCTACCAAAGGTGCAATAATAGCTAAATAATATTCTAATATTACGTCATTGAAGTAGTAATATTACAATTGAATTCAGCTTATTTCTATAAGGCCAACCCACACGTTTATGGAAAATGAACGTAATGTGATATAACCACAGATTTGGGATTAAATTTGTAACATTAGGAAAATAAAGTTTTAATATTAGTAGGATAAAACTGGATTAATGATTACATTTGTGACATTATGGGATTAAATTTGCAACACCACAATGATAATTTATAGCATTTTGGGATTAAAGTCATAAGATCGTAGTTTAACCGAATTAACATTTAAAAGATAAAAGTTGTAACATTACAAGATTAGGCTCCTAATTTTACAAGAATAACATGGTAACATTTACATAAGATAAAAGCTCCAACATGGAGACATTAAAGTCAAAACATTAGAAGAATGAAGTCTAAATATAAATAGGATTAAACTGTAACATTAGGAGATGAAATCTGTAACATAAACCAGGATTAAGTCCTAATATTACACCAGCACTAAAGGCTGGATGGACACTGGTAGTAATCCTTATACAGTGGTCATTTAATCCATCGGGGATTCAATCATTTCACACAGAATAAGAATCCGCAGCAGTTTAATGGAGCTCCTCGCTGCAGGTCAGTGCAGATATGCAGTGATTCATCCCTGTTTTGTCTCAATCACTTTGCAGGTAAACAACCCACCCATCACCCATGTAGTATGCGTTTAACTGCTTCTGCCGACTCTCTGCTCTGCTCTACGTGTCATCAGTTCTTTAAGGAATTAGAAATGATTTTCTTTGATCTTAGGAGTTTGTTTTCATGCTGCTGCACAATCGTCACCTCTGAAGGCCGGGTTGATCAGGTCCTTCCTGTTTGCACAGAGTAGAGCGTTCCCGAACACCAGGTCCAGGCAGCAGAGCAGCAGGTGGTACGAGTTCACCAGGTCATCGCCGATCATTCGGAAGTTACCTTCAGGGAAACAAATCCACGGATCAGAACTAGAAGGGAAACTGATGTTTTACTGGAGTGTAACTATCATCTCTGCAATGATGTAGTAGATGTAAAGGGTGTACTTGTGGATTTTGGCCCGATGTGTTTGTGTAGATATATATATATATATATATATATATATATATATATACATAAAAAAAGTATATACATATATATGACATATATACGTGTGTGTGAATATTGGACAACAAACAAGTTTAACAGGAAAGTTATTCAACTTTAAGTTAATTTAAGAGCAATTAGAGGGAGAGGGGTGTAACCCAGTGTTAAAAGCACAAGTAAAAAAAAAAAAAAAAAAAAAAAAAAATATATATATATATATATATATATATATATATATATAGATATAGATCTTGAATTAATATCTTCTTCTATAATACTTGTTCAATTCAATTCAATTCAATTCAGTTTATTTATATAGCGCCAAATTCACAACACATGTCATCTCAAGGCACTTTACAGTTCAACCAGATCATACAGTCAAATTGATACAAAGTTTTCTATCTAAGGAAAACCAGTTGATTGCATTGACTCATTGACTCAAATACAATCCCCCACACTAAGCATGCTTGTAGCGACAGTGGAGAGGAAAAACTCCCTTTTAACAGGAAGAAACCTCCAGCAGAACCAGGCTCAGTGTGAGCGGCCATCTGCTGAGGCCGACTGGGGCTCAAGGAGACAGAAGCAGAGACACAAAAAGCAGCTGTAAAAGGCGGCCCCGTCCAGGAAACACGCAGCCAGGCAGACGAGCTCCAAGGCAGCTCCCATGCCAGAGGACGAAGAGAGCACATCCACTCAGTCACGGTCAGAGAAACAGGACCACACTGGAAAACAGGCCGATCTCCAACATCTATAAACAAGGGTGTTGATAGAAGCAGCACAGCTGATGTTTTTTTTCCAGGATGACGTCACAACCAAACAGGAACAGACGAGGCAAAGCTACTCTGAGGAAAAGCAGAGAGAGCAGAAGGTTAGAGATTGAACTAACAGATTCTGCAGAACAGGAGAACAGAGAGAGAATGAAGCAGAATGATGAAATGGGGGTCCCTATGTCCTCCAAAAGTCTAAGCCTATAGCAGCATAACTATAGAGATAGCTCAGGATAACCTGAGCCACCCTAACTATAAGCTTTATCAAAAAGGAAAGTTTTAAGCCTAGCCTTAAAAGTAGACAGGGTGTCTGCCTCACGGACTAAAACTGGTAGTTGGTTCCACAGGAGAGGAGCCTGATAACTAAAAGATCTGCCTCCCATTCTACTTTTAGAAATTCTAGGAACCACTAGTAAACCTGCAGATTGAGAGCGAAGTGCTCTGTTAGGAACATAAGGAACAATCAGATCTCTGATATCAGATGGAGCTTGGCCATTTAAGGCTTTATATGTGAGAAGAAGGATTTTAAATTCTATTCTTGATTTAACAGGAAGCCAATGAAGAGAAGCCAGGATAGGAGAGATATGATCTCTCTTTTTTATTTTCATTAGAACTCTGGCTGCAGCATTTTGGATCAGCTGAAGGCTTTTAACTACAGTTTGTGGACTTCCTGATAGTAAAGAATTACAATAGTCCAGCCTTGAAGTAACAAATGCATGGACTAGTTTCTCAGCATCACCCCTGGACAGGATATTTCTAATTTTTGCAATGTTCCTCAGATGAAAGAAGGAAATTCTAGAAACCTCTTTGATATGGGATTTAAATGACAGGTCCTGATCAAAAATAACACCAAGATTTTTTACTTTATTATCTGAAATCAGTTTAATCCCATCCAAATGAAGTGACTGGCTAATCAGTTTCTTTTTCAGAGACTCTGGTCCAAAGACTATAACTTCTGTTTTGTCTGCATTCAGAAGCAGAAAGTTAAGAGTCATCCAGGTTTTTATGTCTTCAAGACATGTCTGTAATCTATGTAATGGGTTAGCTTCATCTGGATTTATAGACAGATATAGCTGGGTATCATCAGCATAACAGTGGAAATTAATCCCATGCTGTCTAATAATTCTACCAATTGGGAGCATGTATAAAGTAAAGAGAATTGGTCCTAGCACTGATCCCTGTGGTACTCCACAGGTAACCTTTGAGCGTGTTGAAGATCTATCATTAACATGAACAAACTGAATTCGATCAGATAGATAAGATTTAAACCAGTCTAGTGCTGTTCCTTTAATTCCAACAAAATATTCAAGTCTTTCTAAAAGAATATTATGGTCAACTGTATCAAATGCAGCACTAAGATCCAACAGGACGAGCACAGATACAAGTCCATTATCTGAGGCCATGAGAATATCATTAGTGACTTTCACCAGAGCTGTTTCAGTGCTATGATGAGCTCTAAAGCCAGACTGAAACTCTTCAAAAAGTTCATTATGGTGGAAGTGATCGCAAACTTGTTTGGCAACTACTTTCTCAAGAATTTTGGATAAGAAAGGACGATTGGATATAGGTCTATAATTGACCAAGTCATCTGGGTCAAGAGACGGTTTCTTAAGCAGAGGTTTAATTACAGCAATCTTAAAAGCTTTAGGTACATATCCCTGTAACAGAGATAGATTAATCACATCTAAAATGGAGGAGGAGATCAAAGGGAATACCTCCTTAAATAACCTGGTTGGAACTGGATCTAACATACAAGTTGAAGGCTTAGATGAAGACAATAATTTTGCTAATTCAGAGAGTTCAACTGGATCAAAGCAGTCTAAACCTGGTTCAGATTCCATGACTACCTCAGGTACAATCGCGGATAGAGGAGTGCTTATGATCTTATTTTTAATAAGATCAATCTTATTTATAAAGAATCCCATAAAATCATTGCTGCTAAGAGCAGGTGGAATGGACGGTTCAACAGAGCTATGGGTCTGGGTGAGTTTGGCAACTGTATTAAAAAGAAATCTAGGATTATTCTTATTCTCCTCTATTAATGAGGAGAAGTATGCTGCTCTTGCTTTACAAAGGGTCCTCTTATACAGCAGTAAACCATTTTTCCAGACTAGGAAGGACTCTCGCAGGCCTGTGGAGCGATATATTCTCTCCAGTTTCCTAGCATTTTGCTTCAAAGTACGCAGCTCTGCATTAAACCAAGGAGCAAGCTTTCTATTTTTAACGGTTTTCATTTTCAAAGGAGCTGCGTTGTCTAAGGCAGTACGCAGAGAACTAGCAACCCCATCAACAAAATCATCAACCTGTGAAGGGGAATAAGCTAAGCTTTTGCACTCTGCAGCACTGCTCAGTGACACAGATGAGAGAGAAAGTGAAGCAGATTCTTTAAAATTTATAACTGCACTATCTGATAAAGATCTACTAAAATTGAACCTTCTTTTGGGGGAGGAGAACTCTGTTAAAGTAATCCTGAAGGTTATTAGAAAGTGGTCAGAGAGGACAGGGTTGTGAGGAAATACTGTTATTTCTTCACATTCTATGCCGTATGTCAGCACAAGATCCAAAGTATGAAGATGAGAATGCGTGGGACTATTCACATTTTGAACAAAGCCAATAGTGTCTAAGATAGCATTAAAGGCTGCTCTTAAGCTATCGCCTTCAATGTCAGCATGGATGTTAAAATCTCCCACTATGATGACCCTGTCAGTATTTAATACCAAATCAGAAAGGAACTCTGAAAACTCATCTAAAAATTCAGAGTAAGGACCTGGTGGACGATACAAAGTTACAAAAAGAAGAGGTTTTCTTGCCTTGAAATTTGGATCAGGGAAATTAAGGGTTAAATGTTCAAAAGAGTTGTAGGTATTAATTGTTTTGGGAGTAATCAGTAAGTCAGACTGGAAGATTGTTGCTACTCCTCCTCCTCGCCCAGAACTTCTGGGGATGTGAAAATTTAAATAGCTTGAAGGAGTTGCCTCATTTATGCTCACATAATCCTCTTGCTGCAGCCAGGTTTCTGTAAGGCAAAACAAGTCAATGTGATTATCACAAATCAAGTCATTAACTAGTAGACTTTTAGAGGAAAGCGATCTTATGTTAAACAGACCGCATTTAATTGTTTTAACTTTTTCCCCAATTGGAGTTATTTTGATTTTAATTAGATTATCATGATTTACTCCTTTGGGAATCTTTGCTAATTTATTAGATTTTGGTCGTGGGCAAGACACTGTCTGGATGGAGTAAAGAGTGGGTAACAGTAGAGAAGCTGCAGAGATGTGTGTTAAACTACAACTCTGCTTCCTGGTCTGCACCCTGGGTGGTCAGGGTTTTGGAGGACTAATAAATGTGGCCAGATTCCTAGAAAGAAGAGCTGCACCATCCAAAGTGGGATGGATGCCGTCTCTCCGAATCTTGTTCTACTTAAAATGTATGGATTTCATGTCTTAGTTAAATAAGTTGATAAATATGTTCATAATTATAAATAAAAAATGCTAAAAATCTATAAAAACTTTGATATTTACTTGTGGTTTTAACACTGGGTTACAGGGGGTATGAAAAATAAGTTTTACTTCTTAAAAGCCCTTTTCAGACAATTTCCATTAATTGATGTCATTTCTCAGGCTGTATAAACAGACAGGTTTATCTGGTGGAGGGTTTTGTTTCTATTTATGTTCAGGTGAATTTAGTTAGTTTGGAAAGTGGTGTTTGGTTTGATCAGGGTTTCCACGGGCCATTAAAAAACATAAAAGTTATTAATTTTTTATTTTTTATTAAGGCTATATTTGGCAAAAAAAAATTTCCTTAAATGTTATTATCATGCTGTATAATGCTGTATAAAAAGAGCATTAAAAAGCATTAAATTAGTTACTCATTGCTGTATAAACCCTGATGTTAACTAGTCTCTTTTGTGTGTATTTTGTGGATTAATTTATTGTTGTCAAAAAATTTTTAATAAATTCCAATTCTTATTCCTATTTTACATGGATTAGTGGGAAAGATTTATTATAGTTTAATAAATAACACTAAACACAACCTTCAGAGAACTTTGAGGAGGATCTTTAATAGTTCCTGTTTAATGTAATAGTCTCTAGATCAGGAGTCTTTAATGTTTTCCAGGCCAAGGACCCCAAACTGATGGTGAGATGGAGCGGGCACCCCCTAATTATATATATTGTATGAAATAGTGTTCTAGCAAACTGGTCCTATAGTCGCTCTGTTACAGATGGAGTAATGTAACTAAAGTAATCCCTCCCTGGGATTATTAAAGTATTTCTGATTCCTGGTTGATGGGACAGGTGTTGTGAATGAAACGGTGTCCAGCTTGAAAGAGCTCCTGTGTGTCTCTGAATGTGTGCATTGATGACTGAAAGACATCTTCTGCCTCCATTTATCTGTTTACTACAGTCTGTTGAATTCATGTTCATGTGGATTTAAAGACATTTCAAATAGTGGAAACAATTGCAGGGGGGAATATTAACAAAAAAAGTCTAATCAATCACTTTTTGGACCCCTAGGGGTTGCAGAGCCCCTGTTGAAGACCTCCGCTCTAAAGAAATAACCTCAAACATTGTACCGATATGAGCGCAAAAGCCTTTAAGAGAACAGAGTGGGTTTATTTCTGGATACCTTTGGTGTAGACAAACAGGGTCCAGCAGAACTTGAACACATCACTGATGTGACACGGCAGCCGCCTGCAGGGTTTTATAGAAGAGACGCTGTTAGGCGGCACATCGCAGTCCCGCTGGATGAGAAGGAAAGAGAAGCCGGCGGCGCTCTGTACCTGTGCTTCCTGCTGCGCGGCTGCCGCGGCGCCTCGCTTCCCTGCGGATTCGCAAACATGTCGCTGAAGATGGGCTCGAACTTGCGAAAGATCACCGTGGAGACCTCAAAGTTACGCTCCAGCCGGTCCATCCTCAGCCGGAAGTCCTGCGACAGGCTGGACATGTCGGCCCACTTCCGCATCTTGGAGAAGAACTGGATGAGACTGTGAGCAGAGAGGGAGGAGCAAAACTTTCTCACCTTGACGATTCAGACCAGCGTATGCCTGACGTACAAAGAATCTGGCAAAAACGCTGGCACTAGTGATGGGTCCATTAACACCGATGCGTGGAACCCATAGAGCAAAACACTATCGGTGAGCGTGTGGTTTCCAGAAAGTCATGTGACCGATATAGGAGTTGTTTCTAACGGACTGACTCACTAAACTGTGTTTAAAAACATATCTGTCAACATGATGCATCTGATAAAAAATGTCTCATCTTTTGCACTTTATCATTAAAATGATCAATAATTTTGGAGCAACCTAAAAGGAATGGGAACGTTTCAGTTGTTGCGTTTTTATTCTAATTTTCTTGCTGTGTCATCCTTCTCCTCTGGGACGTCACGCATACGCTGGATGAATCATCAAGGTGTGACGGGGCCCTAAGGAAGACGTCTAAGCAGAACAAAGAGCAAAATGTGCAGCTCTGGGCAGCAGCAATCAAGCTAGTGAGACGAAATCCCTCCTTCTGATTGGCTCTTATCTGTCATTATAAAAGAGTAACAGTTGGTAGCTTAAAAACAGGCTGCTTTGAGGCAGGGCATCTTTTCTGTCCTAGGATGTAAGAAGCATCGGGCAACAGATGATTGGGGGGGGAGTCTGACCTTAACTTGGCGCAGCGGAGGATCCTGGTGAGGGAGACGCAGTTTCCCTCCATCAGGCCTTTCCCCACCGTGGGAGTGGAGCCTTTCCTGCAGGCGGCATACAGAGCACAGGCCAGCCAGTGGACCACCTCTCCCTGAAAACAATACAGGAAAATAACCTTTGTTCATCTTTAGATGCTGTTAATACTCTGCTTCCTCCACTTTAGGTCAGCTCATGCAGAAACAAGGACAAAAACATATTTCATCTCATTTTAACTATAAAAATAAACACATTTAACGCACTATTTGACTGATGAAGCAGCTCATTGATGCGGTACGGCAGATCGATTTGATCTTCGGTTGAGCCTTAAAAATTATGTTCGGCCACAATGTTTACTACTTTTTTTTTTTTTTTTACTGTTATATTTACTGTTAAACAATGAACCAGTCATCTCCAGCTATCTGTTCATTACAACCACTAGCTAGACATCCACAGTTCCACAGGATACATAGAAAGGGATGATTGGTTCTCCCTTTATCAGATATTATAGAAAAAGGAAGAAATAAACACACAAAGATTACGAACATAAATCCTTTGTTTAAGATCAAAAATGCTGGGGTGGACTTCTGTTATACAATGGGTAAGAAAAGTAAATAATTTACTGATGCATAAAGGTTAAAAAAGAAAGGCCAAGAGAAAACAAAGAGGAAGAGAGGGGGAAAGGACGGACGGCTCGGAGTGACACATCTGATCCATCTTTTCATGAACGGATCCCTTTTTAGTGTTAAAGTGGTCATAGAATGATTCTATAGGGTATCTGGTCCTTCAGGTCTCTAATAGGGTGTGTAACATTGGTTGGGCTGAAAATGGCATCTTAGCTGTTCTATGAGCCCTAATGCAGCCTGGTTAAAAGCCCTAGAATGAAACGAAGGGTTTTCTTCCTTTTATGGTAGGATCATGAATATTTAGATGAGCTGTGCTCTGATTGGTTGGTTTACAACGAGGGAAGCTGCTGAGCAAAGATGCATCATAGCAACAAGCACTCACTCACTGAAACATCAGATTGTTGATATGGTAGGGTGATCAGACGTCCTCTTTTTCACTGACATGTCCTACTTTTCAGACCTAAAAAAATATCTGGTGCAGCAGAACCGAGCCGTCAGCACCGGGAACCATGGTGGACAGGGGCAGGGAGTCAGCGGGACACGGAGCTGGATGATCAATTCTATTCAGTTTATTTCTATAGCTCCGATTCACATCATGTCATCTCAGGTCACTTTCCAGTTCACCAGATCATCCAGTCAGATTGATTCAAAGTTTTCTATCTAAGGAAAACCAGCTGATTGCATCGACTCCTTGACTCTTCAGCAATCCCTCACACTAAGCATGCTTGTAGCGACAGTGGAGAGGAAAAACTCCCTTTGAACAGGAAGAAACCTCCAGCAGAACCAGGCTCAGTGTGAGCGGCCATCTGCTGAGGCCGACTGGGGTTCAAGGAGACAGAAGCAGACATAGAAAAAGAAGCATAGATACAAAAGGCAACTGTCAACCAGCTCCACAGGCGGCCCCGTCCAGGATACACACAGCCAGGCAGACGAGCTCCGAGCCAGCTCCCATGTCAGAGGATGAAGAGAGCACATCCAGTTAGTCACAGTCAGAGAAACAGGACTACACTGGAAAACAGGCCAAGCTCCAACATCTAGAAACAAAGGTGTTGATGGCAGCAGCACAGCTGATATTTCTCTCCAGGATGGAGTCACAGCCAAACAATCTGTTGAACTGTAAAGTTCCTTTGGATGACATATGGTGTGAATTGGTACTATAGAAATAAACTGGATAAAATTATACATTTTCTTAGGCCCACTGTTGTGGTAAATAAAGGGATTTTCTATTCTATTCCATTCTAAATTTATTATATGTTGTGTTTATTTTCAAACTGATTATGCTTGATAAGCATAAAATGAGTTTAAATGATTAATTTCTGAGGTATTTCCAGCTCAAAGCGTCTATGTGACCTCAGTGGCAGGCTCAGCACTGGAGCTGAAGCCCTTTAACCTCCCTGCTGCTCGGCTGGAACTAGCGGGAACTGAGGGAGTATTTGAGGGCCACGGTTCACCTCCAGAGTGTATGTGTTCCAGATGGCGGTGAAGTTCTCCATGGCTTCAGCCGCGGTCTGCTCGTCCATGTTCAGTTCTTGACACAACGCCTCCAAACTCCGCCGAACCGAACTCTCCTCCATCCTCCCCGACTCTGAATCCGAAGACTCTTCTCCCCGCATCCACGCGCAGATTCACGGTTACGGTTTCCACTCAAACCCCCCTCCCACCCACGGATGAGAGTTAAACACCTAAACACGGCGCTCGTCCTGCCCCGACCCCGAACAGCAACAATCCTCTCCACGAGAGTCCGACTTCCGCCAACATTGCCCACAATGCATTGCATTGGCGCGAAAACTTCGAGGCTCTGACCAATCAGACGCGAGGGAAGCAGAGCTCCAATCCGGAGTGGCTCCCGCACTGACACGTGACTTTTCCTTACAACGTCGAAGTAAACAAAGAAAATGGTCACTGGTTTAGGTTTATTTCGTTTATGTTTACAATGGAAATAATCGATCTTATTCCACATATAACTCTAAGGATTTAACATTGTGTTTCAATGGTTGAGGTTTAGCTTAGCAGCCTGTAGCAGCCATACACACACACACACACACACACACACACACACACACACACACACACACACACACACACACACACACACACACACACACACACACACACATATATATATATATATATATATTTTTTTTTTACTTTATTATTTAGATGCTTTCCTGCTACCATAAACATTAACCATTCGAGTCAGATTTATATGGAAGTCCGTTTTCGCCACACAAAAGTAAAAAATAAAAATTATAATTATGAGGTATTCTACTTTGAAACTTTGTATCTCATAATTATGACTTTAAAAAGTAGAAATTATCATTAATTTTATATATACAGTTATATATATATAATATACATATATAAATTGTTATAATTAAGACTTTATTATTATTTTTTTGACTTTTTAAAGTCACTTTAAAAGTCATAATTATGACTTTGTATCTCGCAAGTATGACTTCAAAAAGTCAAAATTACGAGATACAAAGTCATAATTATATATAATTTTATATATATATATATATATATATTATATTATAATTACGACTTTAAATTCAATTACTTTTGAAGTAATAATTATGAGATACAAAGTCATAATTATGACTTTTTAAAGTCATAATCATATAATATATATGTAGTTATAATGATGACTTTCTAAAGTCATCATTGTGAGATACAAAGTCATCATTTTGACTTTAAAATGTCAAAATTATAAGATACAGTCATATAACATATCTCATAATTATGACTTTGTATCTTGTAATTTTGACTTCAAAAAGTCAAGATTACGAGATACAAAGTCATAATTTTATATATATAATATATTATAATTACGACTTTTAAAGTCATAATTACTTTTAAAGTAATAATTATGAGATACAAAGTCATAATTATGACTTTTTAAATTCATAATTATATAATATATATATATATATATATATATATATTGTCATATGAGATACAAAGTCATCATTTTGACTTTAAAATGTCAAAATTATGAGATACAGTCATATACCTTTGTATCTCATAATAATGACTTTAAAAACTCGAAATTATGACTTTGAATCTGATCTTCCATATGATTAAACTTCTGCATATAAGTAAATTTTCTAGGATGGAGTATTAGACTTGTTCATTATGTGAATAAAAACGTAACATTACAAAAAAAATAAGACATATTACTATGAAAATGGAAGTCATAATATGAGACAATTGATTTATCAACCAAGATCAGCCAGACTGCAGCAAGCAAAACATTTTTTACTCACGTGGAAGACAACTTTTTAATGTAAGAGTTTATATTTAAGTAGGCTAATTATCAAATCTTGTATTGTGGCATTATTCTAGGGGCTGGCCAAAAGCATAAGCAAACTAGGCAACTGCTTAAGAATCATGGGGCAACTATGGGGCCCGGGGTCTCCAAGAATTATTGTTTTTGGTGTTCTGTTTTTCTTTTTCATGTATTTATATGTCATTAGACTAACAAAAAAAAAAAAAAACACACACACACACAATTTCATGATTTTTATCCCCTTTTATTTTTACATTAATACGGATTTAATTATGTGGACCTTTTGTTTATTCATAAAAAGGTAATTTTCCTTATTTAAGAACATGCTTGATATTTATTCTGTACCTGATTTATTTTTGTCTGTTTTTGTATAATTTCACTAATATTTATTCATCCAGGCTTTTTATTTGTTTGTTATTGTCCTACAGGTTACTTTTGCCTATTGTTTTTGCAGTTGGAATCAAAAAGCATAAACCATATGATACTTTTACTGTAAATAAACAGCTTATTTGTTTCATTTATTATGTTCAGCAAATACATAACAGACTGTAAACAGCAGCACCAGGACTGCAATGAGTATATAGCTGTAAAAATGACCTGTATATAACTATAGATCCTGTATTCTGCATATATCTACCTGCACCATCAACACCAAGTCAAATTCCTTTTAAGTGCAAACCTGCTTAGCAGTAAACTTGATTCTGAAGCATTGTCACAGCGCCACCAGATGACCCACCATATGTACTGCAGCATTTTCAGTCGATTTTTGTGCATTTAAAAGTTTTTATGAAAAGATACCATTTTCATCTTTGTGACCAAAAATGTCTTCCTGACTTTATACAAAGTTGCCTCTAGATGGTAGCATTACATTTTAATTAAGGCGACAACTTTCTTTTGCTTTGCTATTTATAAACAAACATCCTTTTCACCTTTAGCCTGTATATTTAAGGAAAACACAAAACATATCAACGTTTTAGGATTTGGTTTATTTTTGAACAAACAGAAAACACATAAAATCTTTCAAACTAATAATTACATTTCCATCTGAAGATTACTGATGCAACTGCACAGGCAAGTTTTCATTACGGAAATAGCACTCCAAATTGATTATCTATATATATATATATATATATATTTTCTTTTATTATTACAGGTAAAATCAGTTAAAACAATCTTTTTGTTAAAGAAGAAACATTAGCCTACTAATACAAACCATGAAGTAGGACACTAGCACTAGTTCTACACACATTTTAAAGTTTGCATGATCTAAAGATCAGTTATCTTATAGAAAAGTTACTGATTTATAGGCCTGCAGGCTTCCCAAACCCTCCAGAGATAAGAGTTTCAGAAGCAGAATGTAATCTTGAATCTGATCTCAGTGAGAACTGTATCTGGAGTTATCTCTGGTCTCAATGGTCTTGATTAGCAGTTTTGGAGCTGGAGAACTGCTGCTGCTGCTTCCCTGGTAGCCATTGCTGTACTTTGGAGCTGGAAAGAAGCACAGAGAGCGAAAAATAAAAAGAAACAATTTTCAAAATATTTTTATTTCACAGATTCACCCTTTTTTAGGAAAAAAAAGCAACTTAAGGTTGTTAAATGTAAAGTATTTTCCTCATTGTTACTTACGGGGGCTGGAAATGCTCTGGATGTTAAGGATGGACTGTTGGCCAAGTCTGAACAGGAAAAGAAGAAAGTTTCATGCTTAGAGCTCATTGATGTTACTCTTACCTCTGTTATAAGGTGGGAAAATGCTGGCATGTGTTAATGGCATTCTGAATAACATCTGTAACTATTTTTATTTTAAACTGGTTTATTTAATAAGACTGTAGCTTTACTTAATTTAATTTACAAATTGATTTTGACGTTTACCCAATTCTACAGATTCATTAAAGCAGTGATTAACTGGAAATCAGACTTTTTCCGGTTAAAAAGTGTTTGTTGGTGTTAAGCTTTAGTTAAAACCTGCTAGATAATCTGAAGTTTTAAACTGTTTTTTTTTTTTTTTTTTTTATGTGGGCTCTTAGTTCCAACCAGAAAAGTCCACAAGGGGGCACTATTTGGTCCTCCTGTATTTACATCATTCATGGAGAGATGCTAACATTAGCTCGCCTCGCTTTCATCACTCCTGTCTCTATTCCAACAATCAGGGACTCACCTGCAGGTAGTCAGCAAGGCTTAATGTTTGTGTAGCTTTTTACTTATTGTATAGGAGACCAGGGAACGTTGGTAATGTTGCTAATGCTACATCCACATCAACATGCTGTTAAATACTAAGCTAGAAAAAAAAATTGTCATACTAAAATTTACTTTTCATCTCCTAAAAATTAATTTAAAGACAATTTCAGAAGAAGTGTAGAAGTAAAAGTCTGGTTATAACATCTTTAAGTGTAACTTCAGAGCTGCAGCATAACATTAATTATGTTTTTGATAAAAATCCTTTGGCTAAAATGCCATCAGAACGCTGATAATATTAAGTGTGTCTCAGCCCCCCCCCTTCAGTGTCCCCCATATTGGATCAGTCCATTTGCTGCACATGTTCAGAAAGGTCCAAACAGACAGCAGCAAACCATTTGAAAACAAACCATGCAAAGAGCAGTGTTGCCAACTTAGCGCTTTAGTCGCTATATTTAGCCACTTTTCAGACCCCTCTAGCACTTTGATTTCTAAAAAGCTCCTAGCGCCAAATCTAGAGACTTTTTTCTGCTACAGGAGACTTTGGAGACAACATCTAAAAGCAGCGAACTCTGCTCTCCAGAGCGAGTAGATTGGTAACCCCGCCTCCTGCTCTCCTCTATCTTGTCTGCTGTCATGATTCATGCAGCTATTATTTCATCCAAATGAAAAATGGAGAACAGAGAAGCAGATCATGGCTTGTCTACAGTGAAAAGAAGGACTGGGTTATTTACTTTGGCCTTTTTGGAAACACAGGAAGGAGCAATCAGCTAAGTGAGCTTAGTGCTTGGAAAAAAGGCAAAAGGAATGTCCGGATGTCCGGATAACTGTCCGGATACTGGTATTATGGCTTAACAAAGAATTCAAACGACCCCCATTCCAAAGGGGCGGACCCGCTCGTCCGGTTCAATTTGCATGTTTTCTAAGGACAAAGTGTTATTGGTCCATTCTATAAAGCCTGGAACTCAACATTTCACTTCCCATCCAGGAAGCGAAATGTTTTCAAACTTAGAAACAAAGTCCGGTGGATTTTTTTTTTGGGTTTTCTTGGAATTTGTATGAGAAGTAGACTAATAATGTAACGGTTGATCTAAACTGGGAGCCATTTTCCTCCTCCTGTCTCCTACCTGTCCTCCTCTCCCTCGAGCAGCTTCCTGTATGTGGCGATCTCAATGTCCAGAGCCAATTTCAGATTCATCAGGTCCTGCAGACGAGAGGGAATAATTCCTTTCATTTGACCTTCTTCCATTTCTGGTTGTTTTTTTATTTTTATCAGT